TGGCAGAGTGGGTCGAGGAGTGGTTGTCGTAGTCGTGGTCGTTGTTGTCGGTCTGCGGGTAGTGGTAGTTGTCGTAGTCGTAGTCGTAGGGGTAGTGGTAGTGGTCGGCATTTCCGACGTGTACTGACGCGGTGTCGCAGGAGGCCATTGCGGTTCCTAAATTATTTCAACCGAAGGTACGTCAAGAGTCATTCCACAGGGCATTATCGCGGATGCAAACTTAAGACTGTGGCTGACTAGTGCAACTACTCATGCAGCTTCCCCTAAACATATAAAAATTGATCGCATAAACAAGGAATGACCAACTGGCTTGCGTGCAGAGGACACCTATAGCATGCTTACAACCAAGCAAAACTTAAACAGACGCACTTACTTGACGTTTCACGCCTGAAACACAGAAACTTCAATTGGGATTTTGCGGTTTTCGGTCATCTGAACAAATATCTTATCCTAGGCATTACCGGCAAACATTGGGACTTGCAGGATACGCATTTCTTCTTAATTATAAAATAAATGCTACTGAACCACAGCAAGTAACATTACAATTGGTCATGTGACAGTGGTTGTGAGATTCGAATTTGCCCATGGTCTGGTAGACCGGCCTTACTCCACTCGTTACTCCTCCATAATACTTTCACCACCAGTATAAAATTTAAAGAAGGCGTAAGTTGCCACCAAACGAGTACAAGAAAGAATATGTTCGTGCACGTTTTCAATAAAATATATTTGAATTTATAAAGGCAGTCAAAATCCATAGTAAAAATGCGTATTATTTAAGCAGCCATTTTTTCAGAATCTACATTTTATTGGCGGTCAGTAAGGAGCTCATTAAAAAGCCGGCATCCTTACGTGACTTGAGATTGGACTGCACGATAATCAGCATCGCAACCCTAATTAATATTGGTTTGCGATTGATAAACAGTCTTTCGCAAATTGCGGCATTTTGCTTGCAGCACTCGCCATACTATACCCAAACATCCTTTTGTTTGCTTTTTGTTGTTAAAAAAAACTGTAGAAGGAAAGGCGGTAGTTCTGGGCAGTTGAATTAGATAGGTTCGCAGCAAGAAGTTTGCTCCTTTTAACACTACACCAGTTTCACAGCATGAGGAATTACGCAAATAGTGCTAACAGTTTATAGAACGGACGTAACCGGTACTCTCCTCCGTAGGAATTGCTTACTTTTACATCAGTGAACAAAGTCCCTCACGGAGGGACGGTATTGGGGTACCTTTATACGAATAAAAAGGGCTGCGCAGGAAGGTACGTGGGGTACTCCGGTTGCTGCTCCAAAGAACTTAAGGAGAGCTTATGGAAATCAAGGGAGAATTTGGG